ACACACACACACACACACACACACACACACACACACACACTTATATTTAACAATGTCATGCTAAAAGTATTACTACAAATTTACAAAAAAAGCTGAGTAAAAAAATATTACTTATCTATTATGTTATTATATCTATAAGTTTTGTCATATGCCATTTATATCTGCACATCCATGATACTGGGTAACAACTTTGGGACATGGGCATCAAAATATCAACATGGTGCCATTTGAGTGTCATTTTCAGCTAAGAATTAAAAAGTTTAAAATACACAGCAGTGCTTGGAAACAAAATTGTTTATTATAATAAGACAAGCCCAGCCCACATGAAAGCACCCCCACTGTAATCCACCACATAGGAATATTTTGACAGACTTTCAGAGATGATAACTCATTGTTGGGATACTGTGGATGTGCAAATAGATTTGTCCATTTGACAGCTTTTTTGCATTTTGTGGGGTTATACTTTTGATAGATAGCAAATTTAAGTTTTTGCAAAGTTTTTACAAAGGGCTCTTGTACTATAATGAATTTTTATGCCCCATGGCAGCCTTGCACCAAATTTTGTACCTCTGTCTGCCATGTAAGATGGTTTGATAATTTGTGCAGCAAAGGAGCTCTACTAAATTAAATCTGGAATATATGACATATTGAAGTACTTCATGTAATGTTTACTTGATTATTCTTATTTAGTTACAAGTAAAACGACAGATATTTCCTGTTTTGGTGTTGCATTTGGATATTGTAATTTTGTTGTAAAATCATGTAGGTCCAATCAGTTTGCACCAGTTTGTCCCTTAATGTTTTATGGTTAGAGGCTTTTTCTGCAAATGGGTAATTTCAAGTGGTTGAAGGATATGAATTGGTTAGTATTCAAGTAATTACTCTAGAACCCCATATTGTAACTATCTTCTAAAGTGCATAGAATAATTATGTAGAAAAATTGAATCTCAAGAGTAAAAAAGCAATAATTCTGTCAGGAAATAATTGCCAAGGAAGCATGGGATGCTGTTAGACCAGTTAGAATGTTGTTAATGTCACCAAGGGATGTTTGCTTCATGATAAATGAGATTCTGTGGCTTATTTTTATTTTATAGGAAATTGCCTGCATGTAATCTGGGCAGGACAAATTGTACGCTCTTCTCACAGCAGAGCAAGAAAAAATGCACATTGATTTTATGAATCTAGCAGTGATTTCTTTAAAAAGCTGCAAAATATTTGACATAGGTACATGTTTATTATTTTTATTTTGCTTTGATAATGAAAATAATAACAGTTAAGGCTATGTTATGTAGATATGTAAATATGTATGAATTGTTGAATTGTGCTAAGCCTATTTATTGCTATTTAGGTTGATTTATACACTGCATTTGTCTCTGTGTATGTAGTATTCGAAGGAAGCAAATTTTTTTAAAGATGCATATGGCAAGTAGTTACATACAACTATTGCCACTAAACCCTAACAAATGCCACTCTTGTGTTTCAAATAGTATAACTTATTATAAAGACCTACCACAATGGTCCCTTATAATTACATAAATTCATGGAAAAGTGATATTTGCACATTTCTTACTTTCTGTGCTTTATTATGGACAGGAAGGAAAATAGGTCAAATTTATGACCAGAAATTTGAAGGAGGTGCAGTTTTAAAGCTTTTTTCTGATGCTGGAGAGATTTATTTCAGTTAGATTTTATTTGTGTTGTGTAAGATACTGGTACTATTAATTTATATACATTACATGGTATTTACACTCTCTACATATGAACATTTAGAAATATTAATGAAAATTGGTCATTATATGAAGAAAAATTTAAGACAGATTTGCTTAAGATTGAATGAGTCAAAAAGGAAGACGATTTTGGATCTATATGTCCACATCAAGGAAAGTAAAAGTCTGTTGGGTATTTTAGAATTTCTCCCTCATCCATTTAGGTAATGCAGAAATAAAGATTGTCATGTTATGAGATGTTGCTGTCACCTGAACAGCAATCAAAACTATTTGAAAGGCTATTTAATCACAACAATAAATACCACTTACAAGTCAGTGCCAGGAAATTTTCTTTAGAGACTTCCTTCTAATATCAACTGCAGCAATGTAGTGCATTCATTTAATGGGACATCATGATTAGGGGCACATTCCTCTGTAATAATAATAATAATAATTAAAAAACAATGTAAAAGAAATCAGTGGCACTGGATTGTAGCTCACACCCTAGTTGTCTACCATGCAAATTTTCATGATAATGTCTTACTTAATTATGTCAGAAAACAATCACTATATCTCACACCATTCTACAGAGTAGCTGAATTGATGAGAAATGCTTTGGCACCTTGTGTGCAGAGGTGACCAGATGGCTTT